TGGAAGATGTTGGGCAAACTTATCTGTTCTGGGCTGCCTCATCTAGCTTCATCGATGCAAGCCAAAGGCCTGGACCCCAATACCCGACACACTCGACGTATGCGCCTGAGCCGCTCTGCCCGTGTGCCTCACGCTGGCCGTTGCGATGCTGGCACCTGCCCGCTGCAGCAAGCCAGCGTGCCCTCTTCCCTCTCCTTCCTCATGAGAGTATTTGTAAATATGTTGTCAGGCTTTTATCCTCTACATCGGGCGATGCACGATCGAGTGCCAGCGCCTGGACACTTCAACGGCCCCTCAAGACACAAAAGCAACCCCGGTGCGTCTCTTGAAATCTCTTACCATGGATTATTGGTCTGCACCGCCCCGGCTTCCATCTGATGACTCATGTGCAACCTGGCAAACATGGGCATTGTGCCTTTCTTCGCTCATCGACTCGCAGTCGCTTGGAGCCACTCAAATTGTGGCAAGTCAGCTCGCTCACGTGCGGGGTTGCGAGTGAAATAATATAATTGTTCGCTCTTTCGCTCTTTCCTGCCTGCTCAACCTATGCTGGCGTTGAATAGGACCCCGCCTTGACCGACGACGAAGAGGCTGATGCAGATCGTCGAACAAGGCCTCTTGCCACTAAAGGCACCTTAACAAGCACTTTAAATGCCTCGGCAAGCTCAATCATTAACGCGAGTGCAACCACGTATGCAACTCTGGCGGGTACAGCTTGATGTGACAAACTGCCACGGCAAAGCACTGGCTCACTCATTCAACGCGCCTTCCTCTTTCGCCCCCCTCGCGTCTACGCTCCTGTTTTTGCTTGCCTTTGCCGTGATAGAGTCACCGTTGTAGCCAGTGATCCTTCCGACATACCTCTTTTGACTGAGACGCCAGATGACGAAGCAGGGCTGCCGGATGTAGCAGCTGTTGAGAAAGTAGTCGGTGACCCCAGTGAATCTATGACCATTGCCAAGACCGATCCCGTGAGCTCATCGCCAGCATCACTATTGGCAGCAATGTCTGATATTGCTCTTTGCTAATCCTCACGACCTGCAACCCTCATTTACTTGTGTAGGCAATGCCCGCCACGCCAAAGCTGGTGGAGACCACAAACCAGCCCTCTGATGATGACGGTGCCACCACAGAAGACGAAGTGGATGCAGTTGGCAGCAGCTCGCATGATCACGTATCCGCCAAAACCACTGACCTTGATCCATCTCTCACGCCAGCGAAGACGGAAGCCTGTGCTACAGCTGGCGCCATGCATGTGACCGCTCGTACTTTCAGCTCAGCCTCCTCAATACAAAGTACACAGCCTATCTTGGAGGCCCGCCTCTCAAGGTCTGGCTCCAGTGTTTTGTCGCCAGCTGCATCGCAGGCCATGTCAGAAGCGCCAACAGAACACTTGGGAACAAAGCCAACGCCAACAAGCCGCTTGGGCTCCACCCAAGCGCTGTTGGGTGCTTCAAATGATGCGCCTACCCAAGCTTTGAGTGATGCACCCACGCAGCCTATTGGTGATGCACCCACCCAAGCCATCGGTGACACGCCCACCCAAGCCATTGGCGACACGCCCACCCAAGCCATCGGTGACACGCCCACCCAAGCCATCGGTGACACGCCCACCCAAGCCATCGGTGACACGCCCACCCAAGCCATCGGTGACACGCCCACCCAAGCCATCGGTGACATGCCCACCCAAGCCATCGGCGACACGCCCACCCAAGCCATCGGTGACACGCCCACCCAAGCCATCGGTGACACGCCCACCCAAGCCATCGGTGACACGCCCACCCAAGCCATCGGTGACACGCCCACCCAAGCCATCGGTGACATGCCCACCCAAGCCATCGGCGACACGCCCACCCAAGCCATCGGTAAGACGCCCACCCAAGCCATCGGTGACACGCCCACCCAAGCCATCGGTGACACGCCCACCCAAGCCATCGGTGACACGCCCACCCAAGCCATCGGTGACATGCCCACCCAAGCCATCGGCGACACGCCCACCCAAGCCATCGGCAAGATTTCCGCCGGAGCTACAGCAGCTCATATCGAAGAAGCCAGTCTGATCCGGTCACCAAGCCAACAAGCCGTTCCTCGGCTCAAACGAGCCGCCTCTTCGTTGCATACACCTGCACCGCGTGCTGCCCAATTCCAGGTGACCCCGAAGACCCTTTCCAATGAGGGTTGGGGACGTGCACATTCCCGTATTCCAACGGCCACCAATTCAGGCCCCCTGTCAGACACAGAAGCTGGCACGGACGACGAAGCCGAGCATTCCAAATTTGCCACCACGAAACAGCAGAACCCACAGCTCTCGTCTGCAGCGATTATCTTGGAGCGCTTGCAAGGCTATGACGCCTCACCTCCACAATCAAAAAATCACAGCCAAGCGCAGAGCGCAGCGAACCAGTTGAAGCCTGAACTGGCTCAGCCATCAAGCCCCATTGCACCAGACGTTCGATCCACCTCACCCCTGCCATCGGGCTCCACTGCAAACAAACAATCAACCCCGCCGCCGGCAACCTCACATCCTCAAGGCTCACCCACCAAGTCACGCCTTATCCATGACGGCCAAACAGCGCAGAGTGTCTCCAGCCCAACCAAGGCACGGCCCAAAGCGGTATGTCCTGCTTTCATCGCGCCTTGCAACAAGTGGATTAGCTGGAAGCATGTGTTTGTGGGCAACCGTAAGGACGCCTGCCGCTGGATTGTAAAGCGTGAACCATAGGCAAAATGCTAATTTGACGCGACATCCCGATGTTCTTGCCTGTTTCCTCTCGTTCTTGAACTCAGCTTCCGCAGTTGTTTCAGCGTCGTTCTATCAAGGCGGACGCCCCAACCAAAGGTCGCGTATCGGGCAAGCCAAAGACACGAAAACCATCCGTGCCGACGAATACGCTCGAGGTGCCCGTCCCACCTCTCGTCATGACGGGTCGTCGTTCCCAAGACTTGCCAATTGTGTGTACACCACCGAAAGCACTGACTTTGGCCGTGACTTAGGTGACCTTGGATTCCCTCGAAACACTAAAGGTGTCGGAGCTTCGCGCTTTCTTGGCCGACCATGACGTGGAGACAAGTATGAATTCCCTGGGGAGTGTGCCCATTGCACCAAGTGCTATTTATACATTTTTTCTGACTCTTCCCGTTGGCCGTTCCCGCTGACCTTATCCATTTCCCATCCCTGGACCATCTCTCGGTCTGAATTGGCACAGAGGCGCGCATGAAGAAAGAAGCTTTGATTGAATTGGCTACGGATGTGCTTTTAACCCTTGAAGAAGCTGATGAGCAGGGGGAATCAATGCCTACGTTTCCCGCCGAGGAGGAGGAGGAAGAGGAGGAAATGTCTCTACACGATAGCACAACCGATGAAGAAGATCCAGATACACCACTGATGATCGAGTCGGATTCTAGGCGGGAGCCCGTGGAACAAACCCTGAGCTCATCGCCAAACACCACCAGCCTACGCCCTACATCATCATTGTCGAAAGCCGCCCGACGGACGTCAAAGCGCTCAACCTCTTCAGTGACTTCACTGGCTAAAGATGCAGACTCGGAACCCATGAATAACGGCGATTCATTGTCGACACCCCCACAGCCAGACAAGAAGCGTTCACGTGCTTCTTCGTCAAGATCAACAAGTCAACACTCCCCAGCAACAAGCCAACACTCCCCAGCAGCTGAGCCTTTAGAGCACGGTGATGAAGCTATCGAGGATTCTGTACCACACACCAGTCGGTCGTCTCAACGATCTGTCTCCAAACGGTCTTCAAAATCACAAGATTCACCGAGCCCATCCACACCTAGCAAGCGTAGCAAACCGGCTGCCCAAACAAACAACGCGTCAGTTTACCCCGAACGGTCCAGACCCGCTGGTCGTGCCCCCTTTGATGCGCTTCTCACGCCGCAAAACTGAGTGTAGGACCATATCATGCGTGCTCATTTCGGGTGTGGAAGACCCAACGCTTAGGTTTGAATGCTTCCCCGCCGTTTATCCTCTCGATTGCAGCATCATGTACTCATTCGCCGGTCCCGCACATACCTTGCTGCTCAGTCGACTCATCAAGTCCGTGGGGGCCCGGGAGGCCAGTGAGCCTTCCCCAGAAGTGCAGGCGCTCTATTTGCCCGAGGTCTGCCCGTGGTCCTCCGACGTGAAAGCAGCGCATGAACATGACAATTGCTATTGCTTAGTGTGGTGCTGCCGCTCTGCACTGGTAGGTCAAGACCACGTCAAAATTTTGGTGGGCCATGGCCACGGGCGTGCCCATCGTCGGAGCTCAATGGCGCAAGGCATGCACGAAGCAACGCTGCCTCGTGGGTAAGATCAAGGGTTATCTCTGACGCCGCTGCGTTTGTCGTCTCGAAACATGAGACTGAGCGATATCTACCTGGGCATGCTTCGGCTCAACATGCGCCGTCTCCTTCCGTGTGGGTTTCCCCGCACGCAAACGCAGATCCGTGGCCCTATGTCATTGAAAAGGGACCTGAACCCTACACCTCTGTATGCCTGCCTGAAATTCTCCGTCAAGCAGCGGAGGGAGGAATTCTGAGTGGGCGGAAGTTTGTCCGTAGTAACAAGCTCAAAATTCCAGCCACCGTATTTGCTTCAGTGGTTCAAGCCGCTGGTGCGTTGATTGGCATTTGTCAACTGTTCAGGAGATTGTTTCTCTTCATCGATTTCACTTAACATCGTGCTGATAGGCGGTGAGGTCGTGAGTCGAGCATCTGCCGGCACGTTTACTATTGCCGAGCGGCCAGATGGCAAAGGACAGGTCAGTTGGATGTACTCTGCTCATCAGCTGAATTTACAAATCTCATTGCTCCCGCCCAGGACTCATCAAGCATACCGTGCGCCAGGTATACGGCTGGGATCTCATCAAGGCTGCGATCATGACATACTCTTTTGAACCCAATCGCTTCCTGCTCACCTGACCGTCATTCAATACAATTGACTAGCTGACATGTATTTTGTGGCCTCGCCGTGGTGATCACGGAATGAATATCATCATGATGTTGGCATCCTCAATTTCGATGGCTGCACTCAGGATAGCAATCAAATGGAAGCGGTCACGGTGGTGCGCACACAAGTCAAAATGTGGCCTAAATGTGAACACTAGTGGTTAATAACTTTATCGAAAAACTGGCACTCGGGCCTCATCATGACAAGGATGCAGCAGCCCCAGATGCATGCTTGGATGACGAAGCGCATTCGCGAATTAAAAAACAAAAACAAAAACAAATCAAAGGTCACTCCAAAAGCCTGGTGGTCAAAGACCATATTGTCGTGCAAAAGCTGCACTCACAAGTCCTCCTGCGCCGGCTTCATGCCCTCACACGCCTGTAGCTGCATTTTGGAGCGCTGTTGCGCCCAGGCATAAAGCTCCATATCGTACTTATTGAGTTCGGCTAGCTGGCGAACGCGATCGTGGCCAAAACGATTGAGGTGTACCCAAAGGCCGGCATTGAAGGGTTCAACCATATAGTCGGGTGATTGGCTGGGTTTCCAGTCTAGGAAGCACTGCGCCAGCTGCGGTCCTGTCTCCTGTAGCGTAGCGTAGTCAAAAATGACAAAACTGCGCAAAACTTCCTTGGCTCGGTTCAGCTCAGCGGCGCCAATGGAACCGGCCGACTGTCGATAGACATCAAGACCAAGCAAAGTCCGGATCATAAAGTTGTCTACGATTGGGGTACCTCGACGCTGATCCTTCTCCGAGTGCGTGTGATTGGCCCAATCAAAGATGACGGACGGCTCTTCGGGCCAGTATTGGGAGGTAAAGCTAACGTGATCCATCAGCCGCTCAATCGGGTTTCGAACGATCGTTGCCAGCTGGAACTGGTCTGTGCATTTGCGATGTTCGGGCACAAAAACGGTCTCGACGGCAAAAAACGAGGCATCCCTGTCGATCACCGCTTTGGCTCGATCAGCACAGGTCAACCCTTGGTTGTACAACCCACCAGGGCCATCGTTGAAGCCGGGATCGTCTCCTGGGCTGTTGCAATTCCACTGCTGCTTGGCTAGGCGCTCTGACTGCAGCTTGGCGCTACGGCATAGGCCAAACTCGCCGGCTTTGTGAAAGTGAAAGAAGTAAATAGGCCGCCCATCTCGCACCGAGGGCATGGGACCCAGTTCCTCTGGAGAAAACTGGAGCTGGGCAGGGGCGGGCATGGTGACGGGTGCCGGGGTCGTAATGACACTGCGCTGGCCTAGTTGTGCGGCATACTTTTGCCGTAGCTGACGCACTTCCGTGCGTGGCATGGTACAAGAGCCATTGCGACCATCAGGTGGAATGAAGCCCTCTTGATAACCACCAACCTATTTCGATACACCGCCGACAATTTGAATCAGCTAGAAGAGAGTTGCAACGATCGGCGTGGTGGAGGCTGACAAAGGCATGATCGAATGACGCTACGAACCTCATGAACAACAAAGCTGGCCCAGCCGTCAGCCACACACTGCCACGGGGGGTGCAGGCCGTTCATCTCATCGAGCATTTGCTTGCAGGCCACTGGATTCATATCACATGCCTCAACCATGACCAAGCCCTCAGGAGAGAGGTTGCTTCGGGGTGTGATGGGAATTTCAAACCCGTTGCTGACGAGCTTAAAGGCTTCGCGATAGAGGCGCAAGAGCTCTCCGGCCCGCAAGCCTAGCAGACGGGTGGGGCCGTCGTAGTAAATTGCACGCATATAAGGAGTTGATTCGCTGACATACTCCTCCTCGGAGCTGACGTGAACAACGCCGTAGCGGATGAAATTGTCTTGCACGTTGACGATGACCGAGCCATTCTTCATAAAACTATGAATCATCATGCCGGTACCAGGTCCAGTGACATAAATATCCGTCTGGGCGCCAAAAAAAAGTTGAATGTGAGGCAAGGCGCCGGGCAAGATGAGTACGCTGCCGCACGTGAAGGGGACTGAAACCCTTCCAGCAGATGATGACAATGAACAACAACAAGGGCACGCACGCAAGCAAGAACAGGTGACAAGGATAGTGGATCACTTGAGGCGCAAGCGCAAGGATGTGGTAGATGCTTACCGCAGCCAAAAGCTCGAGTTGCTTCTCAAAGGGGTAGTAGTCTTGCCAGCCAATGTACTTGACGTCCATGTTCTCAGCCCGTGCTTGTTCAATCGACTTGTCAATCTCCACGCGCTCCTCCTTGGAGTAGCGGCGATTGTCGATAAAGATGGCATGAATCTTATCAAAAGGACGACCCGGGTTGTAAGGCGGCAGGGTGACTTGATGGGACCAGTACATTTGATTGCGAAAGTGCGTCACGGTATCAAGCTCACGAGCCCCGGGCAAGGTGAGGTCAGCCTGCATGTAGCGCTGAGCCATATGGCCACTGCCCGTGATGACACGATCAAAGCGCAGGACCTTGCCTGCCCGCGTGAGGTGCTCAATGTCTTGGTACCGAAGGAGCCCGCGGCGACCAAAGCGCTTCATGATTTCGCGGGCCTGGCAGCCTTTGGTGTTGGGAGGGCCGCAAGGTTTGCCATCGTCCTCGGGTAGGCTCACGATCATTCGTGTTGGCTTCATGTGTTGGTTGAACCGAATCAGAGAGTTGTAGGCAGGGTAGAGGCCATCCCACAAGCCGTGGCCTGAGGGAAAAATCAACGAGCATGAGGCGGTGGAACGATGACGGTGAAAGAGCAGGACCTCAAAGGACAGTGCGAGAACCAAGAGAGACTTCAGCTCACAGGGCGACAAAATTGGGTTAAAGGGGGTGCTTACCGACGTTGGACGCCCACATGGTGTGATAATAAAGGTTGATGCCTTGATAGTTGTGCACCTGTTGGTTGGCGCTCATCTTTGAAAGCAGTCGGCGAGCCTCCTCTGTATTGTCGACAGTACGGCGGTCGGGTGTCCAGCCTTGGCCAAACTTGCCATCGCGGTGGGTAGCATACTGCTGAGGGTTCTTGAAAATGTCCTCCATAGCACCCGCTTTGTGAAGCGTGAAAAAGCCTCGCTTGTCGGCATAGAGGTTGCGGTACATGCAGGAGCGATTGAACGCTGGGCCCAAGCATTCGACGTGAGAGAAGAGCTCCGTCTCTGAGAGCGAATTGGGACTACGAAGGCTAAGCTCAAAGCGTGGGTCCAAGTCCTCAAGGCCCTGGACACCAAATTCGTCATAAATACCAAAGGCCTCTTGGGGTGACAAAGAGCTGTAATGGTTGATCAGGTTGGCCGGCACGTCCTCCGGGGCCACGGGCTTGTTATTGTTGGGCGCCGGTGCTGGTGCTGGCGCTGGTGCTGGCGCTGGTGCGGGTGCGGGTGCGGGTGCGGGTGCTGGTGCAGGTGCGGGTGCGGGTGCGGGCGCACTATGATGCCTTCGCTCGTGCTCATCAATGCCAAAGCGAACAGCCTCACGCGTTCGCTTCTCAAGAACTGCGGCATCAGCCGCCGAAAGACCCGCGTCTGTGTCCCGTCCTGCTCGCTCATTGACCGCGTCTTCTGCCTCGGCCAGTCTCTGGCGCAGGTTTGCCAGATTTTGCCGGAAAGTCTTCTGCTGTTCAGCTTGAGCATCCAGCTCCTCAAGCAGAGCTGTTTTGTCCCTCTCGCTCTGCTGCAATGCATCCTGCACGGTATGTAGACGCTGATCCATACCTTCGACAAACTCATGCAAACTATCCACCTCATACCCACGCTGCTCCAAATGCACATCCTCCTTGGGCGCGCGGGTGGTGAACATTTGGAGCAGCAACAGGCAAGCGACCATGGCAATGGCCGCCACGATCACAATCCCACGATTCGTCATGATGTGACGTTTGGAGTAAACACCTCTGTTCGAAGCAAGGGCGGCTGAAAGTGCCGACCCAGCAACACGCCTTCCAAGCAGCCAATCTCAAAAGCCAGAGGCGCTCTCCTGCAGACGGCCCTCACCTCCTCCGCACTGCACGGCCGCCGCCACCACGAGATGATGCGCGCGCGCCCACCGCTTTGCAGCAAATGGATCACCTCGCTGTCTCTCGCTGTTTCTTCTGTTGCACGATGCCGGATTATATCATAACTGTGACATTGGTCACACTTGGTCCGGTACACACACTGTGACTTGGTCACAGTTTTATTTGTACCAACGCATTGTTACTTTTCTTTGATGCGTTTTGTTCGGTTTTTTCATTCATTTTGTCAGCATTTCTGCTCTCTCTCTCTCTCTCTCTCTCTCTCTCTCTCTTCTCTCTCTCTCTCTCTCTGTCTACTTCTCTCTTTCTCAAACCGACCAAACCAATTCATTTCTCTCTCTCTCTCTCTCTCTCTCTCTCTCTTTCAGTGCGATGGACGGGCCTCGGCGAAGGAGCAGCTCGCCAGCGCGAGGCAGTCGCTTAGCATATCAAAGTAGATGCAGTCCAGACTCGGAGCGTGCTGGGCCGAGCTCGCGACGAGCCAGTTATACATGGCGGGCACGTCGATCCGGCTCGCGGAGCCCGATTCGCCGTCCTGATGACCGGACACCCCGTCCGCGTCGATTTCGCTCGCCGAGCCCGACTCGCCGCCCTGATGACCGGGAATCCCGTCCGCGTCGATTCCGCTCGCGCAGCCCACCACGCCGCCCTGATGACCGTGATACCCACCCTCGCCGACCAGGCTCTCGCAGCCCAACTCGCCGCCGTGACGATCCGCCTCGACCAGGCTCTCGCAGCCCAACTCGCCGTCGTGATAACCCTAACCCGCCTCGACCAGGCTCTCGCAGCCCACCTCGCCGCCGCAATGACCAGGATGCTCGTCCCCGCCAGCCAGGCTCGCGCAAACCAGCTTCTGCAAAAGCTTTTGGCAAACCCCCGAGCAAAAAGAAAAAGCCGCTAACTCAGCCAGGCGGCTCTGAACGTGGAAAAAAAATGACTGCCACCTTGCCAGCCAAGTCAGCAGTAGCGGCTGCCCCCAATGAGCTGGCCTCTAAAAGCATCCAGGCCCTTAGCTGGGACCTGGACCAAGAAAGAATCGGGTCTCCTATCAGCCGAGCAAATGGAAAACCCTGCGAGCGCTGCGAGCGACAACCTCGATGTTTTGGGCTTTTCGACCCTTGCGGCCACACATATTGCCTCCCCTGTGCTACTGACATCAATGAGTTGTTGGAGAGTGATTTTTGTGGCTGCCCCATCCGCCGCACCTTGTACCTGGACAGGCTGACCGCTAAAAAACCGAATAACTTGCGCCGAGCCCTTAACCTCACGCGCGCTCCTCATTTGGACATGCACCTTGAGCTCGCCGTCGCTCGGCCACATTCGACGAATAGCCGTGAAGGACGTGGGGCTGCCAAGTCAAAGCTTGAGGAAGGTGGCCAATCGCCCCAGATTCCTGGCACACCGCAGGCCATGCACAACTCGCTAGCGCCCCAAACACAAGTTTGGACTGCGCCCCCCCGCGACCCTCGTCGGCAGCAAGCAAGCGGTCCAATCGCCCCTCCGCCCGTACAATAATAGACCATTGTCCCGGGCACTAGCCCCTTTTTCATCAGCCCCATGTTCTTGGTAGTTTCGTCGTGAAGAGATGAATGCTAGGTGTTTGTATGCTTCATGTCCGAGAATGTGTTTCTCGGATGAATATTGAGGCAATGGCGAAGCACGTGCATGTACGTCGCTGTGGTCTCACGTGTCTGCCCTGCATCATGAAAAGCTCAATCCATGCTGCTCGCTGAGCGAGCAAGTCAAGCGAATTGGATCCGACTCGCTAATCCGCTTTGAGACGCATCTTGCTGCTCTTCTCGATCATCCCTTGTCTGAGCTGACAAAAGCCTCAAGCACCAGTGGGGAGAGAATGGGGTATACTCATTAATTCTTTTTGTGAACAATCAAGGCTGAGAAACCCACAAACTGAAGGTCGAAAAGGAGAATACGACTGGTTTTTCTTTTCTTGGTGAAGAAAACAAGAGCGGAAAACAGAAGAGACACCCAGGTCTGGAGGTGCATCGAGGCAATGATGATCGGGTCAACATGAAAAACAGAAGACACTCAAGCATTGAAAATCAGGCCGAAGAAAAAAAAAAAAGGAGAGAAGAATAGTAACCAAATAAAAACACAAATTCCACGATACTCTGTAGCCCAAACCGCGCCTTAAAGGATGCTGACGGGCCGTGCCTACTCGCTTGGCACAACTGCATGGGCAGCTTTCTCCTGATCGCGAGCCGCGAGTTCACAGGGCACCATGGTAGAACGGACCCACTCGGCCATATTGACGGGTTGGGAGGCACGCATGTCTTCGAGCCATGGGTGCTGAATGAGCTCGGCCAGAGGCATGCGCTCCGAAGGCTCCCGTTTCAAGCTAAAAGAAAAAATTGGTAAAAGATCAATGGAAAAGGTAAGCGGCGGCAAAAGGTCAAAGAACATTGAAGCAACGCAAGACTGGAGGAAATCATGTGTGGTTCAAAACGGACCAGGCATCGATGAAATTGATAAACGAGTCGGAAAAGCCGGCATCATCAGGGAGGCGAGGTGGCTCGCTCTCGACAATGTTAGCGAGCAGCTCAAAGATGGCCATGGATTGTGTTGCCTATGCCGGAGACGGAGTGAGCATGGGTGTGCACCAGAATAGCGAGGTGAGGGTAGGCCCAGTAGCACAGTATAAGTTACACGCCATGCTCCATACGGGAGCCCAAGCAAGCCCAGCGACAGTGCAGCAGCAAAAGAGGGTCGTCACCTACGTCCGGAGCATGGGCTTCCAGGGGTTTATCTGGCGGAGGGTGCATCGGGGCAAGACCCTTCTTCAAATTCTCGGCAGGGATTGGAAACACGCCAGTTGCCATTTCAAGGAGCGAGAGGCCAAGCGACCAGAGGTCGCTCTCGACGGCATAGCGCTGGCCTTGCAGCCGTTCCGGGGACATGTAGGAGCGTGTGCCCACAAAGGTGTTGGCGAGCGAATTATGAAGTTCACCGCTCACGCCAAAGTCACAAAGCTTGCAGTCACCGTCGGAGCTGACCAAAACGTTTGATGGTTTGATGTCTGCCAGTGAGGGCCGATGCCGGGTGAATGAATGCAATCAGTAGTGCCAATGTGTAGCTGACCGCCAGAACAGGATGAACATTATCAACATCAGTAGGCTTAGGCTTACCGCGATGCATGATAGAGAGCTTGTCTCGCAAATAAACAAGACCATCCAGGATCTATTGTCAAGTCCAAATGCGCGAGGCCAAAGGGAATGATGAGTAGACTGATTTTCCAGACACATGGATGATTAGGCGGCATGGTGCCTGATCACAATCCTCTGCGGCAATGACGTACGCAATAGGTAATCTCTGCCAATACGTTCTCGGGAATGCGGCCTATCCGCCGCACGACTGCATCGAGGGAACCGCCGTCCATGTATTCCATCAGGATGTTGATTTCACCATCGTGCCAAAAGGAGCCGTAAAAGCCGATGATGTGCGGTGAAGAACATTTGTGAAGAATGCGCAGCTCGCGCAAAATTTGGTTGCGCACTTCAGGCCTAATCTCAAGATGAATGCTTTTGCGCGCCATGATGATATTGGACTTGACATGTAAAACTTTGCAGACGCTGCCGCCGTTGCCTCGACCGAGAACGACAAGCTCGCGAAGGTCCGTGGGTTGGACATCCTCAGTCTTGACGATCAAGGCGAATCCGGAATAGAAGCGAGGGGGCAAGGAAAGAAGAAGAAAAAGTGAGCAGTGAGAGATGATGGGGCTACCCGTAAGAAGGCGAGGGCTTGCGACGGTCAGGAATGAGCGAATAGCTTGCATGGTGTCTTAACATACTGAGAGAAAGGCCGCCTTTCGGAACAGAAAGTCTTCGACGCGTTGGAGCTGTTTGGCGTCGAGAGGTCGCTGAGTCAGCTCCTCTTGTTGCTTGGAGACAACCGTCAATGGTGATGGACTAATGCTGTCGAGCCGACACACAGCCGTTGCGTGGCCATCACGCAGGAAGACACAAGAAGTTGAGGCCAGCAGCTGGTTGGCATTGCGAAGCAGGAGGGGGAAGGCGAGGGGATAGGAGGCCTATTGAGTGCTGAGGGCAGATAATGTACCTTCGGCCAGAATCGGGGGAAGTGGGCGTCTGTGGGATAAGGTCAATGGAAAGCGTGGGACGCGGCTTGCGCCGCCGACCCGTCGACATGGTGGAGAAAAGAAAAGGTAAGCTGCCTCCCAGCGTGTGCAGCTCAACACCCCTGGCACGAAAAAATCGGGCGAATGAAGCACAGTGAAGCGTGAGCATCGGTTTGGTGACAAGAAGAAGAGGGAGAATATGTGAGAACAAGAGACGGCAAGAAATGAGGCCAGCTGAGGTCGGTGTGATAGCACAGGGCAAAGCGCGACCGCATTGAGCCCTGACAAAGCCAAAGGAAGACGAAGAAGACACATGGGCTAAACAGCTTGTTGCCTACCCGGGTTCAGGTCTGGTCGAGGTGAGATGCACTCTTGAGCAGGTGCACAAGCGCTCTCGTCTGCCTTGCGGCTGCTCGAGCGCGCGCCGAAGCGGAAGTTGCAGTCTGCCGTCGGCGGTGGGGTGAGGGCGTGGTGTGCCAAGCAGGCAGTCAACCAGGTGCGACCGTGATGGGCACCAGCACGGTGCAAGTGACCCGGTCCAACAAACCCCAGAGCCCTGCACCAATGTCTCTTGCGAGTTGTATTTCTCAAAGCAATGCAATACCCAACACCGAAGCCCTCGAGCTTGATCAAAATGCATTCAGCAACCCCTGCCCAAAACTCGATCAGCGAGCACCAGAATTCGGGAGCAGCAGAGCCAGTTGCCGGTCATCACAAAATGAAATAAAATAAATAAAACCGGAGAGAGAGAGAGAGAGAGAGAGAGAGAGAGAGAGAGAGAGAGAGTACTCTCAAGTGCTTTAAAGGATAAAGAGGAGAATTCTTTTGTCCAATGGCAAGGCAAAGCAATCTCTCTCTCTCTCTCTCTTCTTTTGTTCTCCTCCTCATTAGTCGGCTCGATTGCTACTAAATGTTATGGAGCGGGTCTTCCAACCAAACTGCAACGTGTCGCATGGCGCCGTTCAACCCTTTGCACTTTGAATCACTGGCTTCACGACCCAAAACAGTCAACAACAGCCGCTTGACCCTGACCCTTAAGCAAGTTATAACATTGCTATTATGATTGTGAGCAGTCAGCCAAAGGGCTGTGGCTGCCACTCCACGCCCGGCTCGCCAACCTTGGTCATTCGATTGGAGAACTTGCTACTTCACCCTTCCCTCTCTCTATGGCCAACTGTGGAAATGTGAATCAGCTCAAAGTGATAAATGACGTTTAAACAATAAGCCAAAGAGAAAAGTCGATTGAATGAATCTTTTGTTCTCGGGTGATGGCTCTTCTCTGGCGCTGAGATCGGCTCAGCGCCAAAGCGGAGCTGGTGGTACGGACAGCACCACTGCCGCAATCAAAAGTGCGATGAAACAACGAATAAACAAACACCAGGGATGGATGAAACCTTCACCAGGCCCATTCCTTGCTTGCTCGGCAAGCAGACATCAACGCTTCCGACCGCAAACACCACCCAAACACACACAGCAAAAACAAAGGTGGCAGGCGGTTCAAAAGTCCAAAAAAAATTAAACGAAGCACTCTCTTCCTTCATGCCTCAGCCGCGGCTGCCTGCAGGATCATCAACGGTCACCGCATGAGGCAGAGAGAAAAAAGGTTGCATGCCCTCAGCTCAACGTAGAAAATGTGCCCAGACCAGGACAGAACCACCACAAACCTTGAAGGCCTCGCCCTCACGACGCAGCTCCTTCACGACGGCCGCCAGCGCCTCGGGATTGATGCCAGCCTCCATCAAGCTCACGCAAATGGCCAGCGTCTGCTCAAGCGACAAGCAGAGGTTTCAAATCAAAGAACCAAAGAATAATCGCACAGCCACCCTCGTTTGTCCCAGACGGGCTTCTGAATAGAACTTCTCCTGCTTATCTTGACCTACCTCACGATCCAAGCCCGTGTTGAGAATCCGAGACACCTCAAAAAGGCCTGAGAGTGCCGGCAGACGAAGCAAACCGTGAGCGCAGCATGCCGGCACCGGAACCAAGGAGCGACAAGATGCCTAAACACGCACACTCGTGCGGGCGTTGCACTTACTATCCATGGCCTCCTTGGCCTCGGCTTCACGCTGCATGCGGTCCATGGTAATGTGTGCTGGCGTCCAGTACAGCGCGCGCAGCTCACACGCACCCGACTCCTCTGCGCTGACGATCCTGCACCAACCCTTGCCTCCAAGGACGTGACCGCGCCCTGAGCAGCAAGTCGTCAAACGAGAAAAATCACAAAGAACTCCCACCACACACACTCACACACACACACAAAGAAACTGAAATTTTCAACGTAACGGTCACTAACGTGCAAGTCTGACTGTCTGACAATTTTTGACGAACCACGGACACGGTGGCTGCAAGAGGTTGTGCGGCGCGGTGATCGACGACAGCGGGTGGCTTGAGGCACGGACCTGAACGTATAGGCGCACGTCGGCTGTGGAGGTGTGGCGTAGCAAGGATGGCTTGCCCACGAGTGATGGGGACGGTGGCAGCCGGGCTGGGTCGGTCAATACGAGCGTCAGCACGAGCCCTGCCCTTGCAGCAACAGCGCACACTGGCCCAGGTCCCCATGCTGGAGCGCTGGCGGGTCTCGCGCGAGACCCACTTTGCAGACAGTCGAGACCTGAACCGCTGGATGCGCCTCTACTATCGCGACAACGCAGCCGCTCACGATGATCCCCATCTTGCGGCCCAGCGCACCGACCAGCTGGTGGGCGCACTCAGCGCCATGCTGCAGCTGCGCCTCTTCAGCGGACCCAACGCCCTCTCGAGCGCTGTCTTTTGGAGCCGTGTGCTGGCACCCGTAGCAGCCGAAGACTGTATCCTGCTCTATCAAGACCTAGTGGAGGTCTGCAACTCCGCTCCGGACATTGAGGCCCCTGAAGAGCAGGCGGATACCTTCTTGCGCGCCCTGTTTTGGAAGAACGACCCTCAGCTCGATCGCTTCCTAGCCAACTACCGCGATGCCTGTCTCGCCGATGCCGAGGGATTTGCGGGCGCCAACCCTGACGATCCCATCTGGCAACTTCGCCTTGACACCCTTCGCTCGATTTTTCCCGAAGATTCGACGACGCGTGAGACACTGCGCACCCCGCTCGCCGCCTGGGAGGTGCCTGCGCTCGACGTGGCGAGCTTTCGAGCCGCGGTGCTGGACCATGCCCCTCAACCCTATGCCTTTACCCCGTTCCATCACTTTCGCCTGTGGGACCTGCAACAGCTGGCCCGTGGGGACCCACAAGAGTTCTCCGCAGCCCTCTGGCCAGCTGCCACGTCCGTGTCTGGCGCCGTTCTGGATGCCCTCTGGGCCGGCTGGTACGCAGCGCAGGATGAGGACGCACTGCACCGCATCGTTGACGTGGCTGGCACCGGCTTGCGCCACCTCCACGACAAGCTCGGTGCGTCTTTCCCTTGAGCCCATCCGCTGTTGTGACCTCTGGTTGAACCCTCGAAGGCTTGCCCCTCCCCCCCGCTCCTTGCCAGGGCTGGTCGCTTTCACGTCAACAGCAGCATCAGAACTATTCGGCTCATAGCGAGGCAACAATGCTTCTTTGTGCGTGTGTCATTAGGCAACGATAAGCGGGCCGTTCAGCGATTTGTGCGGGCCTTGGTCTTGAGTGCCGAACCCTCGCGCACGGTGCACAAACTTTTTGGGGAGGATCGTGAGGGTGCGTGCATGGCCGACTTGGGCTACGCTGTTGTTTGAGCCATCACGCACCACAAACGTGTGCCATGCTGCCATTGACCTCTCCTTTTGACATGCATGGGCTGCTCTTTTCTTTTTCTTCAGGACGGACCATCATGTCGGCTGGCACTTCGGCTTGCCTCTCGCTGCTTCATAACAGGTATGGCTTGCTCCCATTTGGAGCATGATGGAGCGCGGCGTGGCGACAACCTTGATGATCACTTGAAAGCGGCAGCTTTTTTTTTTTTTTTTTTCAGTTGGCATTTTCATTGTTCCTTGTGCGCCATGCCTGACGCCCAATTACTGTGCATGCACCTGGGTCGCGAATAGCTTTGAGGACGAGGTTTTGCGAGACATTCTGTCAGCACGGGCGGACCAAACGGACGCGTCTGCTCCCTATCGGGACACCATCCGCATGCTTGAGGCCGTGCGTGCGGCCCAGGACATTGCCGAAGCCCTGGCCCAACAGCAAGATGTAGAGCGCAGCTCATTGTGATTGTTGTGAACACTGGCAACCCCGGCCACTGCGTGGTCTCGTGCCGTACCCCCATACCATCAACAGCAATTCAAGAACCAGAATCAAGTGCTCGACTTGCCAATAACCGTTCGGCGTATCTCAGCCATAGAGACAAGCTGCTCGTATGTGGGTGTACAAACGACACGCACACATGCCTCTGACGTTGTGTTGAATCGGAAAAACACACGTTGTGGGCTTTGCGCCATAACCCTCACATTCTTCACACTTTGAAACAGTGTATGCGATTGCTTCTTCGATCGTCACTCTTCTCTGTCTCTGTCTCCCTCTGTGTGTTCCTCTCAACCTCTGGTTTTCCCTTTCAAACTCCATCTTCTCAACCACTCCTGCCTGATGACTCTCTTTCTTCGCTTCTCTTTCCCTCTCCCTCTCTCCGACACCCTCTGACATGTGAGAGAGAGTGACGCAGGAGATCAGTGGCTTGCGCTCTCTCTCTCTCTCTCTCTCTCTCTCTCTCTCTCTCTCTCTCTCTCTCTCTCTCTCTCTCTCTTCTTTTTCTCTTTCGCCGTCTCTCTCGGTACGTATCGGTTTGCTTGGCGAGTGTCAGAGGTCCAGACGCCGCCACTTGGCATCCAGATGGTGTTCAAGGTAGCTTTGGGGCAGGATTGGTGCACAGTGAAGGGTTGCGGAAGTGCTGATGAAACTTACACCCAGAGAACTTCATGGTTGAGCACATCGGCTCGCTCACAATCCACAGCGAGCCGCGTCACACCACCTCTCTGCTTTCTTTGGCGCTTGACCGTCTGATATTTGTTGTACGGGACCTGAATGCTCGACTCAAGTGCCCCCTCGACTACTGTTGGGTTGCTCGGCCCATCTTAGCTTTGTTTGTTTTTTCATGCTGGTGCTGATGCTGGAATGTTTGAGTCCTTGTTTGCAAGCTCCCATCATCGCAGAGGAATTGTGCTCTGACCTCCATGGCTTACTCACCTTGGCCATGGTGATACCCGCCCCGCTTTAGGATAAGTCAGTGGCAAACCATCCAAACATGGCTGCGTACATTCATCAAGCCAAGGAGGCGATTGACCCCTACTACAGTCAGCTCAAAACCTACCTCCACAACCAAACCAACCCTGACCCCTTTGTCAAGGCCGTCCAATATGCCTCCACCAGGAGCCACCTGGCCCCCGAGCACATTGTCGTGGGTGCGTCCACCCTCCCCCAAACATTCTTGGCATTACGCTCGCCTACCTCCCTTTCCCACCTTTTTTTTTTTACCTGTTGCTCTGTCCACGTGCCGGCTTGGCCGGTGGTCCAGCCTACACCTTCCTGACCAGGCTTGCCCGCGCTTGGCTTGATCGACCCTAGGCGCAATTGTCTTTGCCCTATTCATGCTCCTCGTGGACAGTGCCTTTGCCATCCTCTCCCTTCTCCTTGGCTTCATCTACCCGGCCTACAAGTCTTTCAAGGTCTGGCCCTCCGCATCTGTCTTTCGATCAAGAGCTCGAGACGAAGGGCGAAATGAACTCGGCTGCACGCGCCGTCTGAACTCACGGTTGCTGGGCACGCTCGCGATTTTTCTTTTAAAACTAGGCAATTGAGAGCCAGGAAAAGTCGGATGATACCCAGTGGCTCATTTACTGGACCGTCTTTGCCTTCTTCTGTGTTCTGGAGATCTTCACTGGTTTGTAGCCTACATCCCCACGCCGCTGATTATTCGCGGGCTGGCCCGAGGGCTGGACGGTAGCCAACGTTGATTTTTCTCCAAAAGCTGACGTTTTTGTGGCTCAATCCAACCCCTTAGACTTTATCCTTTTCTGGTTCCCCTTTTACTACGTCTTCAAGCTCGGCTTCCTGGCCTGGTGCATGTATCCCGACCGCCGCATGAATGGCTCCATCATTGTCTACAACAGCGTGATCAAGAAATTTCTGCTCCAGCACGAGTCGGTACGCCCATCGCTCCAAGAACCCGCATGTTTTCTTGCGCTCAAGCGGGTCGATGCAGTCATTCCTGTCCGACACCGACGCCTCACATGTGGCTACCCGGTTTGCAGGTGATTGACAATGGTCTCAACCAGGCCAGCGCCCATGCCGGCCGTGCCGCCGCCTACATGCAAGACGGTACGTCTGTAGCTTCCTGCCCTCACCACACCCCAGCCCAGCCCACACCCCTTGCTGACCGCCCTCAAATTCCGTTTGATCCCACCTGTAGAGCTCCACAAGGAGTAAAGAAGCCACCCTTGATGAAGTGAGGCAGACAGAAGGACGAGTAGCCGACTCGCTCTAAACTTTCCAGTTCTGAGCAATGTTTTGTTCTTGAGTGTCCTGGCAGACTCTTGTTCGAGCTCGGTGTTTCCGCGGGCCTGCCCTTTCCCTTCTGTATTTTCTTTTTGTTTTGCAAGCAACCAGAACGCACAATCCCATTCAGGCCAATTGTAACCAGCTTCGTTGTGAGCAAGCATCAGATGCGCATACACACACACAAGTCCAGCAACATGCTCGAGCTTGCGCCTCTCCTCTTACCCCTACGGCCACTTCTTCCCTCCCTGCTGAGGCTTGTTAGCTGGGCGAGAAAACCAGGCCAGAGTGAAAATGGATAAAAAATCGGTCAAAATTCGTGGATATGTTTTAGCGTCAAATCCGTCAGACGTGCCGGAGCCTGACAATATGACAGAGAGCGAGCGTTATCAAAGTCACCGATCGAACTTGCGCTTGCGCTGGCTTGCAGGCTGATTTACATCTGCACCATAATGATTCTCCTGCATTTCAGTGCTTGTAGTCGGCCTCAATAGTGTCTCGGGTGTTTTTTGGCTTCTAATCACAGGAAGATAGAGTAACAGCATATCATATCTCAACCAGTTGCCCATTTCGTCTTTGAAGTGTATTTTGACCTTACACAGGACTGGCACAGACATAGGCACAGCATAGGCGTAGACATGCACAGAGGTGCGTGAGGATGGAAGCACAGGAAGCTCGCCATATGATCTGTCGGGGATATGGAGCGTCAGTCAGTTTGAGACTAACATGTAAAAAAAATAACCTCGTCCAAGCAAGCGAAGTCAGTGAAGTCCGTGACATTATGTTTGCTTGTATGGTTGTGCATGCGATCGCTTCGAGTCCGCCCGGCAACAAGAAAGACGCCTGCGTGTGTGGCGCCGCGTCACCCACTGGCATTTTTCATGTCTTGCCTGTGTACCGTCTTGCTTGTCTCACACAGACCCTGCACAACACCCATTTCCCTTTCCTGCAAACCTGTTCAATGTCAAAACGTCCCTGCAGATTTGGTGCCAAGTGTCGCCAATTGCCACTTTGATCATGGCACTGCTGCTGCTGCCGCGGCGCCTCTAATGTGCCGATACTGGCCCAATTGCACCAAAGGCGCTGCGTGCAAATTTCCTCACCCAGCCACCTCTGCGCCAGCGACCTGTCGCTATGGCGTCAAATGCACCGATGTGGCCTGCGTTCATCCTCATCCTGCAGAGCGTCCCAAAGTCTGCCCAGACTTGGGCAAATGCTTGGATCATGCTTGCCCAGGGCTGCATCCCCATCGCACCGTCTGTTCTCTGGGCTGGGAATGTGAGGCGTTTGGTTGTCGGGCCCGACATCCGGCATGCCGGCGCCGCAAGTGCCCGGAAGGCGCCCTCTGCCGTCTTGGTCGGTGCCCTTGCCTTCATCCGGAAGATTGCAGCAGGGGTGATAATTGTAGAATTGCAACTTGTTGGAGGCGTCACCCGCCGACACGCATTCTAGCTTGTGAGGCTGGCTCAAGATGTCAGTTCACGGACTGTCGCTATTTACATCCACCTGGACGAAGTGCGATCTGTCGACGAGGTACTTCATGTTGGTTGACTCGCAGTCATTGTCACTTTCGTCACAGGACTGGTGCACCACAACAAGAGGCTCCCGTGGTAGCGCTCGCGACGTTAAAACGGCGCTTGACAGCTGAGCACGAGCGCCAAAAGGCCGAGGGTGCCTTTAAAACCGCATTACTGCAGCGTCGGGCCCGCCTTCAGGATGGCAGCAATGTGGATGCGGCATACACGGCAGACTTGATTGTGGCACTGCCCAAGGAGGATGCTCGCGAATGTATTGTGTGTCTGGATGATGATGTATCTGCCTCCGAGGGCATCGCTTGTGACAGCCAACACTTTTTGTGCCACACCTGCTTTGACCACCATGTGCGGGCCATTGCCCAGCACGACGAGGCCCTGACACGGGGCGCCGACGTCAAATGTCCTGAAGTGGGCTGCGAGCACCTGTTTTCAGAGCGTGATGTGGCTCGAACCGTATCTGACGAAACTATGAGCCAGCTCTCCGAACTTCGCCGCCGCCTCGTGGAGCACCAGGTGATACAGCACCTCAAGGAACAGCGCGCGGAAGAAGAAGCGCGCCTGAGTCGCCTCTCAGCACAAGAGCGTGAGGTGGAAAACGCCTGCAAGCACTTGGTTGAGCAGATTTTGACCCTTGCTTGCCCACGCTGCGCCACGGCCTTTCTTGACTTTGATGGTTGTTTTGCTCTGACCTGCCATGCCTGCGCCTGCGGCTTTTGTGGATGGTGCCTCAAGGACTGTGGCTCGAATGCCCATGCTTGTGCGGCCTCGTGCGGCTCCATCAATGGTGGTCGCGGATATTTCGGAAGCTTTGATCAGTTTGAAAAGCATCACAACAAGCGACGACGTGAAAAGGTCAATGCCTACTTGACCAGCATTCAGGACTCCACCTTGCGTGAGGCTATTGTGGCTGCATGTCGTCCGACATTTGCCCAGTACAATTGGGTCATCACCCCGAGCCACCTGCTCCAATAAGAACGTGCGTGCTCGAAAGTGCACCATTTTATGTGAATGTTTTTTCTTCTTCTCGTGACGCGGCGGTGTGCACTTTTTGCTCCTCCCCCGCTTGGCCTTGATTGTTTTGCGCGTACTCTTGTTTTATATCGTGAAGCCATCGTGAATTGAGAGTCATGCATGAGCAACCGAGTGTGGGACGGTGCTGACTGTAGCTGGAGGCATCAGCTTTGAGCGACAGCTGATCTTCGATGAACGCACTTCATTGAGATACTTGACACTGTAGTTTGTAGCACTCATGAGGCGCTCTTGCTGCCAGTGCCGGGCTCATATAAGCTGAGCGCTGGCCGCGAACAGCACATGACTGACATGTGAATCCACAACCCCCTCCCTTGAACAAATCGTCTTTTCACATTCACATTCAAAACAAATGTTTTGCTTTGTTTGTGTTTTGTGTTGTTGTTTTGGATGTCAGGGAGTTTTTCATCTCCCTCCGGTTTCATTTTTCAGTGAGAGTTGAGGAACGCCGATCGGGCAGTCAACGACAAATCATGTCGGGGATGCGCATGCTGGCAACGTGTCTGTTGCTGTGGGGGCTGGTCAGCACGGTTTGCAGAGCAAAGGCGGTGCAGGATGGTCCCGTTAGCATCAATCTTGGGACCCGCGTGAACACGCTGCCGGACGCCTGGCTGGGCGTTGGCGAGGAGATGTGGCACTTTATCGAGGCAGCAGCGGCTGACGATCTGCAAAACCCCCGTTTGGTGTGAGTTTCATCGATGCATTGTTGATTGTATAAGGCTCTTGCAACGCCCACGTGCCTGGCTCTCACTGAGACACTGCACGGCCTCTAGAGGAGCCATTGCCGCTCTCGCTCGGCATCGTCCCTTCTTCTTGCGCGTTGGCGGGATCACGGCCGACTGGGTGACCTACGATGTCTCAGATGCTTGCGAGCAGCAGCAGCATCATGGCTTGAGCTTGGCAAGCATGGGTCGGCTTCGCGATTTTTCTCTCGACCCTGCATCACTGAGCGGCTCGTGGCCCGATGCCCCGGAGAATCTCACCCAGTGCATGTACCGTCAGCTCCTCAACTTTTCCGTGGCGGCCAACGTCGAGCTGATGTTTGATCTCAACGAGCTCACGGGCCGCGACTGTCACGTGGACAATACCACGCACTGCGAGGGTGACTGGAACACCACCAACCTCGAGACCTTTCTTCGCTACCTCAAGGACGAGGACCTGATCTTGCCAAACTTTCACGGCTTTGAGCTGGGCAATGAGCTAACCCGCTCCGATCACATTAACATGACCGTCAACATTGCCGACAATCGGCGGCTGCGCCAGCTCATCGAGGTTGATTCAGCTCTTTGGGCAAGAGGGGACGAGGCTTTGTCGTTTGATCTTGAAGCCCAAACATGCGATCAGGGCGCGCAGCGATCCGTCACCTCGCCGCCCGACCTGCAAATGATATTCCTATAATCATAAGATGTGATGTTTCTGGTCTCCCCTGCTGCTGCTGCTGCTGCTGTCGTGCGTAGACGGTGTGGACGGACAATGCCACACGTCCCAAGACGTTTGGCCCTTCCACTGACATTTGCGATGATACATCGGCACAGTTTATGGACGCCCTGACCGGCACGGTCAGTGGCTTTACCTTTCATTCGTACCCAAGTATGTCGACCCTTGCATCTGCTACCTTTTTCTTGCCTCCCTATCCCTCTTTCCTACGAGAAGATGCTCTCACGTCGGACGGGGCTTAGATTTGGATGACAGCACGGCACCTGCCACACTGCTGAACCCGGCTTGGTTACGCACGGGCATCATGCTCAATGATTCTCATGCCAACAGCGGAGAATGCATCGTTCAGTGGAATGCCGGGCCTCGACAAGAGGGTCTGCAAGTCTATCTCACGGAAACCAATTCAGCCTACACCAACTCAGAGGTTCTTACGACGTTTGTGAATGGGTAGGGCTTATGTATCTTGTGTCTGTCACAGCGCCTACAGACGTGCTCCCTCCCCGCCCCCGCCTCAAAGACGTGTCTGGTCCTCGGCTCATCGTGTCTCGCGGCGGGCTACGCGGCCAGCTTCTGGTATATGGCATCCCTGGGCCAGTATAGTCAAGCTGGTGTCTCTTCTCACGCTCGATGGTCATTTTTCAAGTCAGATCTTGCTTGGTTGATGCGTCCTCTTCCCTCCGAGCAAGCGACTGCCAGCCCGGGTAGCCGGGTGCTCACGGTTCTGGTGGTCTTCTGTCATCTCTGCTGTTGTTGTTAGCCATTGGGGGCATACGGCCTTCTTTGCCCTGGTCACGATTGACGGCGGCGGGCGTACGGACTACTTCATTGCCCTCCTGTTTCAAGAGCTGGTTGGCCACGGTGTGCTCAATACGACGACCAGCAGCGATGGCGTGCTGGCCTACGCTTATTGTGCACGAGGTGCGGGGGGCTCATCAAACTTTCATGCAGAGGCGCTCAGATCCCAGCACTTGGGCCCTTATCTTCCCAGGTTCTGATACTGTTGCTGATACCGTTTATATCGTGTTATAGGGTCTGCGGACGTTGTACTGTCCCTTCTCAATCCAGGCAACTACAGTGCCAATTTTACGCTTGAGGGCTATGCTGGCGACTTTGACCTGTACTTATTTGAGAGTAGCACCAGCGACGTACTGAGCAATCAGACCAAGATCAACGGGCAACTCATGTCGATGGACGAGATGGGCAACCCAACCATGCCCCAGCCCGTATCGACACACAGTCTGGTGTTACCCCCGAGCACGTATGCTTTTGCGGTGACCCGGCAGTGGCAGAGCAGCGAATGCCAGGCGTCAGGATGACAGCGTCATCCTCAGCAGCCGCATTAGGGCGTCTTGGTTCCAAGGAAGTCGATATAAAAATTCATAAATTCAGGTGCATGCAATAATAGTAGAAAGAGTAACATGAAGCACGGGCCCATTGGCTGAGCATGATTCAACACGGAGTGAGCAACAACCTTTTTTTTTTTTGGTCTTTCTAACAACTAGAAGACTTTGCAGAAGCAAACGGCCATGGAGCGCCAAAGCGCCGACATCCAAATTAAAATTATACAAGTGCCGACGACAGGAGACCGGAATCCGGCTCGTTTAGTAAAGCCTGCACAAGGTTTGGGCCAGCCACGAGAAGCGCAGGGCTGGCAGTCTCCATGATCGCGTCTGGTGCCTCTACCGGTGGGTCAGACGAAGTGGTTTCAGTGACTTCGTCCGGGTCAGGGCCGATGTGTTCTGCATGCTGCTCAAGCCAAAGCTTGAGCATGCGCTCACCCAGCCGCGAGGGACCGTCTTCCAGTGACACCTAAGTCACAGGTAACTGAGCAAGTTGGTGGCACGTACACGTTCCAGCAAGGTGCACGTGGTGTTCAGGTGACACGAGCGTACCGTGAAATCAACGCTCCTTGTTTTGCCAGACGTGCCCACCAGTTGTAGTTCGACATTACCCCCGGCCTCCACCAGTGGGTAGTAGTCGAATTGCGGAGCATCAAAACAGTCATAACGCCTGTCGGCACAGCACATGCATCGGCCACGCATTTAGGTCCTGCCTGCGGCGGTCCTCAGCTTTGGTCACACACTGTAGAACTAGACGCACCGTTGAAACTGGACAATGCCGTCAACGCTTACTCTTGCCTCGAGCGAATGAGTACTCAACAACGTCCAGCATACGACTTGTCCTAACCAGAGCAGTCAGGTACCAAACAGATGGCAATTATTTAGGCTTGATCTCTCAGAGGCACAAAGACAGCCCTCAGAAAGAGCACGGCTTATTTCAGACTGGAATTGTATGGTAACCAACCTCGCTCACAGGCACCGACGGAATGTGTATATGTGGTCGTTTTGGATACTTCTGCCGAGTGGTCACCTTCAAAGCTGGCAGAGAGAAATTCTTCCTCGGGAACGGCACCCGCAAAAGACACAAACTCAGAGACTGCAGGAGAGCAAGTAGGAAAGCAATCGCGGTCAAGGATTGTGACAAAAAAAAAAAAAAAAGATGCAACATTGGGGCTGTTCGGAGTGAGTAGCTAGTGACAAACCGTCGGCTTGACCACCGTATTCCTTGGGAATCCAGTGCTCATCAATGGCGTCAACCAAAGCAGCGCGCACTTGCACGGGATCCGTGCCTATGGACAAGTTGAGGGCCAGTCAGCCAGGTTCTGTGCTGGAGGGAGGGTACGGCGGTGTTGTGCCGCAGGAAGCCGGCAAGACGTACCACAGACGGAGATCTTCTTGATGGTGTCCTCCGCCAGAAACGGTTTGAGCATGCCAAACAGCATGGGGAAGATTCGGGGTGCATTGATGACGATGGCTTTGTGTAGACATTCGGGAAAGACCTGCTCAAACTTGCTGACGTTGTCGGTGAACAGGTTGACAAAGTTGCGGGTGACGTGTCGCATGGACACCCCCTGCAAGTCAAAGACCATGGTCGTCTGCGAGATGAGCTCTTTCCGGCGGCGCGTCAGCTGCTCTGAAATGGAAAGTCCAAGGCGTGCCGAGAAGATCTCGTGGTTCACAATCTGATGCATTGTTCCCACGCTGTGATCGCGGCGAGTTCCATAGGTTGACAGTCAGCAGCGATTTGTTCGGGCAACGGGGCGAGCAAGCTGTTTGGCAGACACACCGGAAGAGACCCACGGGGTCAACTCGACCGACCGCCTGCCAGTAGATGGGGTCTGCAGGGCCGAGGTGGCAGGTGGGTGAGTATGTTATGTAGCGGACTGCTGCCGTTCGGGCGGGGGGGGGGGGGGGGCCCGGGGGGGGGGAAAAGGAAAAAAAAAC